CATTCCTGGGGTCACCTTGGCTGTGTCACCCAGCTGAGGTCACTCACTTGATCTGCAAACACAGACTGAAGGCTACTGACCTGTTTTGGTGGGCTTTAGTTAATGTTTTGCAAAATCACTGTTTCCAAGGATGTAAGTAGCCAAGGTGCTGTGGTACGTGGTCAAAAACCGATGGGGCAGGGAGATGGTTTCCTGCTACCAAGAAACTCCCTTTTGCTGGGAATGAAGCTGTAAATTGCTTTGCTGGGAAGTGAAACACTGCGAGTAGGCAGGTGCTCAGGCTTAGCCTCACCCAGAGATGGCCCAGGGAGCTCAGAAAGCACCTTGACCCTTGCCAGGACCATGTTTGCTCCTGCAGAGGAGTTGGAGGCTGCTGAGCACCGCGAGGACCTGGGCTGGAGCTTGGACAAGTGCTCTCCTCACGCCACAAGAGAGCAGGGACAAGTGCTCTCCTTCAGCTGCAACAAAGCAAAGGGTGTTGTCTAAGGGACACAAAAGCATTTTAGGCATTTTATGGCTATTTCATTTTAGCCTTTTCATGGCTAAAAAAAAAGGGAGTAAATATTCCTGTGGTGCTTGGAGAAAAGGGGGATGAGGCACCAACCACCTGGCAGCAGCATGGGGAAGCTGTAAGCTTTTCCCTGGAGACAGGACAGTGACAGCCACAGGCTAGCATGGTTTATGGGCACTGGGATCCCTCACAGAGCACTGACCTGGTTTATCACCCTCCCGTAAACAGGCAGCTCCTCTGTGACCTGGCCTTACCAGGAACTTGATCTTTGTTCTTTCAGGAACCACGTTCAGCTGAACGGACCCACCCAGAAGCAAACACACCAGTCTGGGGCTGGGTTGCGATATCCCCTGTGAGCCAAGCTCTTCCTCTCCCTGTTCTCTGGTTATTTCTGGTTCCTCTCCCCAGTCTCGCTTCCTCCTCGCAGTTGGCTCCTGCCTGTGCTGCCCACCAGGATCACTGGTCCTCCCCTGCACCAGCGAGGCAGGACGTGGCTGGTGCTTCACTGCTGTGACCATTATAGGATGTGATAAATTCTGTCATTGGCTACACAGCCAAGAGGTGGTTGTCTTTTATTTTCTCTTTTGCATCATGTCAATTGATCCTAA